ACCAGACTGCTTGGGAAAAAATGCGTTATTTTGACTTAAATTGGGAATTTTTTTATGCATTTTTTCAGCTACAAATAAAATTAGTCATCATAAATAAAGACAGCTTACAGCTTCCACTGCCCAGTAAGAACTATTGAGTGGTGATTTATATGAATATGTTGGATTTAAATGATTTTAAAGAAATCACTTGATAAGAGACATTGTAACTTGGTGGTTAGTCATGATTAGTTTCTTGCATATCAGACAGGATTATCTACCGTTTACACCGGTGCTAGAAAACTCTATCTTACACCCCCGATGTATTTTAAAGACAAGTCGCGTGCTTTAAATGAGGTCATTGACACGTGCCATGTATGAATGAATTGCGTCTTTGGATGACGTCATTTTACCGTTATGAATGAAGTTGTAAGTTCATACGCTACTACAGGAAAAAAGTGCGCAATGAGAATATCAGTTTTCAAAGGTTAAGGTCACAGCAATCTTGACTGAAACTAGAAATGTGTCGTCGCGCCAGGGATGCCCCTGCATGCAACCAAAATTTCAGATGTTATAATATTTAGTTCCAAATTTGTTTGCACAAATTGTTTTTTTTTTTCATTTTAAGTTCAAAGCCCTTAAAACTATTCAATGTTAACACAAACCATTTTTATACAAAGTTCAAGGCACTGAAACTATTCAGTGTTAACCTTTTGTAATTTGCATATTGCATATTTGTAGTCAAAATTAGCCAAAATAATGGCTACATACATTTCCGCAAAAGTATGAGTGCTGAAACTGAAAATTCAAAATTTTTCCAACATTCAAGAAAGATAACTTTGTCCTAAATCATTGAACCACGACCAAATTCAAACTTTAATTGCTTATTCCTAAGATGTATCTAAATGTCAAATTTGAAATGAATGTGTACAACAATTGGGGAGATAATGACCGAAACTTAAAATTTCTGATTTTTTTTCAAAGTTCAAGAGGGATAACTCTGTCAGCTATCATCAAACCATGACCAAATTCGAAAATTGACCAATGCAATCTTATGACATATCCATATCTTTAATATAAGTTGAATATGTACAACTGTTGGGGAGATAATGAACGGAAACTGAAAAATCATATTATTTTCAAAGTGAAAGGGGCATGACTCTGCCAAAAATCATCAAACCATGACCAAATTTGAACTTGAGCTGCGCATTACTTTGACGAATCCATATGTCAAGTTTGAGTTGAATGTGTAATACCATTGGTAAGATAATACCGGTAGACGGAAACTGAAAATTTCATATTATTTTCAAAGTAAAAGGGGCATAACTCTGCAAAAAATCATCGAACCATAACAAAATTCGAACTTGACCTGCATTTTCTCATGACATATCCATATATTAAGTTTGAGTTGAATGTGTAATAGTGTTGGGGAGATAATGAACGGAAACTGAAAATTTCATATTATTTTCAAAGTAAAAGGGGCATAACTCTGCCAAAAATCATTGAACCATGACCAAATTCAAACTTGACCTTGAATGTGTGCAACCTTTTCTAAGATAATGAACGGAAACTGATGATGACGGAATGACGGAACAGGGTAACACTTATAATAATTGCCCCAGCCATTATATGGCGGGGGCATAAAAAACTTGCCTGCCTAATAACTTAAGAATCCTTAGACCCACAGTCATCACATTTGGCATGGTGGTTAGTCATGATAAGTAGATGACCCCTATTGATTTTGAGGTCACTGTCAGAGCTGCATAAGTACTAAGGGTGTAGTACTTAAGTACCAGTACTTGGCAAATTATGCAGTACCATTATCAGTACCAGTACTAGATTTTAGCTCGGTACTGCAGTACCGGTACTTTTTCTGGGGAAGTAATTAAGTATCAGTACCATTACTTTTATATATTCATCAAAGTTTGAATAAATACACAGTGTCAAACAAGTAATTGCAAATATTATTCAGCAATGAAATAAAATCATGATTTACTTTAAAGCAGCACACCTCCATATTCAGGCTAATTTTGATGAACATTTTGGAAATGTATTTAAAAGTAAAATATTGTGAGGTGAACAAATTAAATAACTTACATATTGCAATCGGCACTTACAATCCAAGAAAATTACCAAAATGTCATCAACATATGCAAAAATAGCCCTTACTGCGTTAGTAATGCAGTAGAAACATGGTAAAAAATACTGCAAAACAGTCTTAAATCGCACATAACATAAAAATATAACTTGGATCTTGAATGTTGTTAACCTTTCTTAAAATTTTAGTACATATTTACAATATTGATTTTCTTGAAATATTTTGGCTCATCTGGAGGCGTGCAGCTTTAAAGTTAACATAACATTTTTACAACTTTATTGTTTTAACATACTTTTTACAAACAATATTTACAACATATATTCCTGTCATATCTTATTGTTTAGTAACCAGTCAACTGTAATACAATGCAATCATCTTTCATTTAAAACACAACAGTCTTTTGTTGCCTTTCACACCTCTGTTCAATTTATACCAAAGTAAATAACAACTTCTTATAGTGCGAACAATATCACTTGAAATATGATTATTTAGAATAGAAGCAATTAATTAGTGATTATTTTGGTCTTTTACTATTTAATACAAAGTAAGAAAAGATTTTAATAAGGATATTTTATGGAAAAGATTTATTGAGTCTGTTTATCTCAATTTAATTTTTACTTAAAGTCTTTGGTGCTTTTTTATGATGAATACTATGTTAACATTTGAAGGAATATTGCAGCAAATTATCTATAGATTTGATAACTTAATTTTTCACAAAAATAAGATAATGTTATTTACAGCTTTATTTTATGAGAACAATTGATGCTATTTTTATCAGAACCAAAAGTACTGCATTGTAACAGTAGCAGTACCACTTTTTAAGACAGTAATGCAGTACCAGTACCATTAGTAGCAAAATTTTGTAAGAGTAATTTAGTATCAGTACCAGTACTTGCAAAATTGCAGCAGTACATACTGCAATACCAGTACCAGTACCAGTAATGCAGCTCTGGTCACTATTCATAGGTCAAGGTCTTGACTGAAAAACATGTCTGCCTAATAGCTTAAAATTACTTTGTCCCACAGTCTTCATATTTAGTATGGAGGTTAGTCATGATAAGCAGATGACCCCTATTGATTTTGAGGTCACTGGGTCAAAGGTCAAGGTCACAGGGGCTTTTACTACAATAAGCTTATCAGCTCAAATGCTTAAGAATGCCTGTATTAAGTGTAATTGATTTTGACATTTGAAGCATATAATTATGTTCTCATACATGTATATTCATCATAAAACACCCCAGGCAAAGCTGCATGAATGGGGTATTCAAGATATGTAGTGGCAGTTTCAGGTAAAGGTCACTTTGATCTTTGCCACAAAAAACATGTAGAATATATAATTTAGCAATGCTGTGGCGTACTACCTACAGATTTGGCAGGGAGGTTGTCCTTGAGCTCTAAATGACCACTGTTGATTCTGACAAAGTGGTATGCGGGGGTATTCATGCCATGACAGTGGCAGTTCTAGTTCACTGTTGTATCGGGACTCAACTTAGACCTCCACTAATTCCTGACAGCTCAAAACAACCAGTAATGCATAGCTCTACTGGAGGTCTAGGTCCCCATACAGTGTTGATGTTACTAGTGGAGAAGTTGTAACGCACAGTAAGGACCAACCATAGTGTAGCAGTAACAGCAGCCCAGCCCTGTGCAGCCCCCTGGTTGCACAATCATAACTTTATGCACTTTTATTGTCATTCATTTACATTAATGTCAGCTGTCACAAATATCACCTAGGGCTCATGTAACTAATTGATTTGAGCAACTATTAGTCAGTCACTCAAAGGCAATTTTGAACATCAAAGTAGCGAAAACAACTTTGCTGCATTTTTCTTTGACTTAGTCTTACCACATGTAATTTATGCCTCTTAAACATTGCACCTGTCAATTAAATAACCACATCTCAAGGTGTAATGTAACAGTCGATACCGAACATGTACATTCAGGGCTGCAGATTTTCCGTGGATCCGCGGAAATCCGCGGATTTCGTGAGCTCCTGGGTCATTTTTGAGATCGATGTAAATTCGACAAAGACAATAAATTCATTCGTCATATTTTATACAGTACCCAAAAACCGGCACGCTTCCGCTTTTATCGTAACGCTAGCCGCCTATGGTACGTCTGTAAGCGCTTTTCTCATTGGTCATATCAAGACTTTTCCGGTATTCTATTTTAGAATAACCAATCAAATTACAGTTTACATTGTCGCTCTTGTCTGTCGTCAAAATGCGTCAAAATGTCGGATATTTGTCAAATTTAGAGTCCAGGAAATTGATTTTAGGGCATACCAAATCATCAGAATCCAGGAGCTTCCAAGGGGGCTTTGCCCCCTGGTCCCCCACCAGGGCTCTGCCCTGGACCTGCAAAGGGGGCTTTAGCAGCCCCCTTGACCCCCGGCGTATTTTCCGCTGATTTTGCAATTTGCTGTTGGCAGCCCTGTACATTACGTCATCCAATATATGACAGCACATTTAATTTTGTATAGCAGCTAATTGACTTTCAATTAAAGAATCATCATATGACAATTAATTAAACAGTTCCATAGAATATGTTTAACTGAGGTTAAACCAATCATTTTTATTGTCAAGTACATTATTGAAGTATGATTTCTAATGTCCAACATGGTTCAAGTTTTAGAAATAAACTCTAGCTTTCACTGCCATTACAGGAAATACACAGTTTGTCCTTGGGCGAGTGCTTAAACTGGTTTAAGGGCCAATGTTAGAATTGATTTGAACAGTAGCATGATCAGCCCCAATACAGAATTATATGATAACCATATTATTAACTTATAACATATAAATTATTAATTATTTCGAAAATATTGACATTTCATCATTTAGAAGAAGCTCAGATAACAAAAAACTTGATTTATTCTTGCTTAATCTTATTAAAATAAGTCTTTTATGTTAACCTCATTTATTTTCAGGCTTTGATGAAATATGTTCAGACTTTATCACATGTACTGGATCTAATGTGGAGTGCTCATCCTCGACTAGTCTTTGTTCTTGTACAGCAGGTTATTCAAAACAAAATGGTGTCTGTGTAGCTGATGGTAAGTTTGTCATTTCCTTCACCAATTTGAATCTGAGGATGCTAGCAGCTTTGATGCAAAAAAGGTGTGAAGCTTGTTTAAAATGAGCAGTTAAGATAATAAAATTCTATGCAAAATTGCTGTTATGCTGAGGCCCACATGGAAGATTGGGAAACCAAATGTGTTAATTAGCCCCATTAAATAAAGTTATTACTTACTTACTTATCTACTTTTTTTTTTTGCTGAAAGGCAAAGATGGCTATTGTCACTGTCTTCATTCATCTACCGGTATCTGTCCTAGAAACTTCAAACTTGTTACAGAGAATTTGGTCAAGACCAGTAGATGAACCCTTATATTTTCAGGGTCACAAGGTCAAAGGTCAAGGTCACACTGATCATATCTAAATGGTTTCCAACCAATAATTGACATCCTATGACCCCTTTTCACTCAAACTTTGGTCTTTGCAAGTAAATTAACCCTATTCAGACTTTGAAATAACCCACTTGCTGGAAGCCTGGAACAAATTAAATTAAAATAAAAACCAGTCTGCTCGATTGGAAATGTTAAAATGTTATTGATAATTTGAGTAGTAGAACTTGAAATAAAAAAACAAAACAAAAAAAAGTAAATCCAAATCTCTGTAATTTTTATAAGTCATGCATGTTTATCTGAACGTATATTATACATACAGATTTTTTCACAGGAAAAGAATCACTGGGAAAAAAGCACAGTAAATTTGCAAAAGAGAAAGAAAAAAATTTTAAATTGTATTTTACAGGGAAAAATGCAAGATTATAATAAATTACCAAGATGAAAGTCAAAATATTTTGACAAGCCAAAGGTAGATTCCGACAATTTTTGTCCTGGGTCAGAATCTTGCTTCTGAGGGAGATGATGTTGTCATTATACACAAAAATAGCACAATATTGTTACGCTACGGTCCAGCTATATGGCAGACTTCCCGAAAGTTGAAAAAAACTGTCAGACATTCGGTCTGACAAACCATGAAAATCTGTCGGACCGAAACGAAATCTGTCGGACCAAATAAAATTGATCAAAATCAAAGAATAACGTGTGTTTGTATTCCTAAGACACTTTTTGTTTTTAATTTTTTCGCCGTAAAAATCGGCACATTCCTTACAGCGCATTTTCATCTCCTCCCTATCATACACCAACGATTCACTGTCTTGCTTCTAATTTTCTTTAAATTTTGTCTCAGGTCCTTCTTTTTATCCTTTTACTACTGTTCTGCGCGTTCCTCTGACGTAGATTTTTGATTTTTCCAAGGTTTGGCACCTTTAGCGACGCCATTTTGTATACATGCGGCTTGGATAAAAGCCGGACAGTCGGACCGATCCGGAATAAAAACTCGTCGGACCTGATCAAAATTTATCGGACATGTCCGTCGGACCGACGTATTTCGGGAAGTCTGATATGGTACCAGGCCCCTTTAATCCTCTTAAAAATGTGGTAACGTGCTCAAGACTTGGTGACCAATAATCGTACTGGACTGTAGAGAACGATATTGTATTTACGAACAATGAAACGATCACAAATTATAACAATGTTCTATATAAAATAGAAATTGTTAGGGTTAGGGGGACTGTTGATACTTGATTCGGATGACTGTTAAAGTCTATATAGATCTATTTGGCTGAAATATGCTATTACGACATCTGTCAATAGTGGGCTACTCTGTATGGCTAGGACACTGTACTCCACAGTACTTGATAACACTTCCTTACTTCTGGAGGTACGCCAGTTTAAGATTAAAATTGAGTCACAAAGAAGAAAGACTGTTCACAGTTTACTAATTTTAATTAGTGTTAAACTGTTAATAAATTCAATTGTCAAATATTCAAATAACAGTATTGTAAATAACATCAACACATGTATATCATTCAGTCTTAAATATCCGATAGCTACGTCTTACATAGACTTCACATAAAATTATTACCGCGACTGCAGTTTAATTTCTGTTCAAAAATATGACAACGTAAATATAAAGTTTGGTCGAGTCAGTGACCGTAATAATGTGAAACAAAAATTATAAAGTTTTTCTCAATTATTCTTAGACAACAATTGATTAAATGTAAAATAATAATCTAAAGACTACGTTTTATTTTGCCTTAAAAATAAGTAAAATTTGCCGTTCAGAAGAACACGACAATAATGTAGACTAACCAAAAGTTAAATGAAAACTGACTGAAGTTGATCGTTTTCTGGCCTATTTATACCAAATCTGAGAAAACGAACATAAGAAGGTTCGAAAAATGGTTGACAATGTTCGACGTTCGAAAACTGAACATTTGACGTTCGGAAACAATCAATTCCATACACAAAGAATGCTGTCAACCAACCGAACGTCCGAACATCAACAATTCTTAGCTAAAGTTCTATGAAAGTTTACATAAAAATACGATAAATTGATACATATAATATTTATAAAAATGACTAGTACCATGGATTGGCTATAAGTTTGTTGCTTTTGGTGAAACATAACTTTGAAACGGTTTGTTTACTGAGTTTAGGCAGCAATTGCTATTGACAACGGAAGTCACACAACCCATAATGCATCAGCGAACAACAACAACACCTGTCAAAGTTTATCGAGTAAAATTACGATAAATGCTACTTTCTAGCTAAATGTACGCTGATTATAAGAAAATATGTAAACAATTAATGAAATAAATCATTTCTCTTTATAATTCTGACATAATTTATAGTTGTCAGTCCCCAAAATTAACACAAGAAGCGTTTTTCGGTACATGTAAAATGTAAACAATGCCGATAATGACATACGACCTGAGTTAACAAGTGAGATTATATCAATATCTTGACACATAGTGCAATTAGATGGACTGCCATAGAAGGACAAAAGCCATTAGATTACATGTATGTATAACACTTTTATTTTCCCAATTTCAGGAACACTCGGAGGATTCTGTTCAGATACAACTGCCTGTTCTGGAACTAATGTAAAAGCATGTGTAACGGCTGATGCAGTGTGTGTATGTGAAGATACTTTCACAGCATATAATGGAAAATGCGTTGCTGCAAGTATGTTTATAATAGCATTTTTTTTAAAAGAATTTTGTTGGGACTTTAGTGTATTTTTCTAGAGAGGTGTGGTACGCGGACCCATTTTAAATTGCTAAAAAACTATTTTTCCCAAAAAATGATTTCAACATTTAAAAAAAAAATCTTGATTTAACTGCTGTTTTGCTGCTCTCTCAATATAAGGTATTTTTCCATTAAAAAAAATGTCAGTTCTAAGCATGCCTGTTCACACACTACACTCACTTGTGTAATTTTATCTTAAATTAAGACTGCATGCATTCATAAAAATTGATGTGCGCTAAGTAAAATATTCCGATCCATCAAATTACCAATGAAATTTTTCATTATTTTTTTCATTTAAGTCCATTGGATTTCATAGAAATTAAAAATGAAATTTGACAGCCTATGGCTGAAAAAAACAACAACAAAAAACCAACAGATAGAGTTAACAGTGGATAGGTGATACTAGTAATACTGACTAGCCAAAGTTAGCACAAGGCCTATTTGAACATTTCAGATGCACTAGGAGGAACCTGTTCTGTTGATGGTAATTGTACAAGTGATTCTAATCAAGCATGTACAAATGGGATTTGTGCTTGTAAGAGTGGTTTTACAGATACTTCAGGAACATGTAAAGAAACAGGTATGTTAAGCCTTATATTAAGAACTGATTTATGACATTGCTGTTACTGATCCTGAATTGATTCTAAAAATGTATTGGGCTGGTTTGACTTAATTTCAGGCTGATTTGGCTAATTTTTGGGTAGTCCTATAACATGAGACGTTTCCGTTAGTACTATGTACACTCCAACGTCTTATCGACTTCTTCATAAGTTCCTTTAGCAAAACGCGCAGCGATTTTGGAGCGCTATATATATTAAACCGTCGTAATTTACTACAAAAACAATATTTTGAGTCAAAAGATATGCAGACAGTAAATTTAAACATTTTTGCATCAATGTGCAGCAAAAAAAATAAATGACTCACCTTTGAATGTAAATAAATCCAATCCAATACAATTTAATATACCACTTTCACCGCTATAATATACATTCGGCCATTTTACCTGTATACATGTGGGCGGGTTTTGCTAAAGGAACTTATGAAGAAGTTGATAAGACGTTGGAGTGTATGTAGTACGAACGTAAACGTCTTATGTTATAGGACTAATTTTTGGGCAGATTTGACTGTGTATTCTATGTTTAATGAGGGTTCATTTGTCCTTTCAGACTCTGATTTGACTTATTTGTATTTATCCTTAACAAAATTTCTACTTGTTAATGTTGTTTTATTGATTATATACCTTTAACTATTTTGCTATATTTATTTATAATTGACAATATGATTATACACTATATGATATTGATATAAATTAATTTTGATAAATTTCATTATTCAACCTGATTATGTCAAGTGTACACATGCCCTAACTTATATATCTACTGTATATTAATCATATGATAAATTCCGAGTTTTAATATTGATTTATGAACCATACAAAAAAATTATTGGTCACACAAATTTATATGCTGGAGTGTCAACATAGCCTGGATGACATTGAATCAAAGTTTTGAAAAAGAGTTTTTGAAAACGCAAGGCATGTTTGACAATTTATTACAACATGACAGAAAATCTAGAAAATCCATTTTATTTGTGTACAGGGTTGATGCCTGGTACTGTTGTTTTGTAAATAATAAACTAGGTTATTATTTGTAGTTAAAGTTCTGTATGCTCAACAAACTCTACAATATTATGATTAAGCATTGATTCACATGTTTTTTTTAAAATCGTATCTATCAGATATAAATAATTTAAGATTATTTGAGATAGATGTAGGGGAAATTAGAATATCTAAAGGTACAACTTAGTATTTAGTTAAAAAAAGTCATATAAACCTGCAAATATATTTAACTTTATAATAATAATGTGTTTTGGAATAAACACAGTATTTACATTTTGATAATATTCTTACAGGAAAGTTGGAGGCTGCTTGTTCAACTGATGCCGACTGCAGCAAAGTAACTAATGCAGTTTGTACATCTGATGTCTGTGCCTGTGGAACTGGGTATACAGCAGATTCTGGTGCATGCAAAATAACTGATGGTCAGTATTTTTTTTGTTTTTATGCCTCATAAGTTTTCATTTGTCTTAATATTGTCCTGTCTTTTTCTCAGCAATTACGAACTAGAATACATCCTACCTAGAGACAGCTTCTACTAAGAGAAAGTTGGCATCTTAGCAACATATTCTGTTTCAATGATTTTCTTTACAGAACTATTCTCCCTAATGCTTTTTGTCCAGACTATTTCTCAGCAATTATTGGCTGGAATTCATCAAGTTTTAATAGGAAGCATCATAACCATGAAAAGTGCATAATGTTATTAGCAGTATGTTTCAGATATATATATGTATCAGGGCCTTTTGTTGTCTTTTTGTATTCAACCAAAAAGGTGTAATTTTCACTATATTTCTGCCGAAGGGACCAGAGATCAGGTTTGAGAGTTTGAGCCATCGGTAATCGAGCGATCCGAGGTAGAACAATATATATTGTATAGGAATTTTGCCAGGACTAGCCGATGAGTTCGAGCGAAGGGAGGTAATCGAGCGATCCGAGTTTGAGCGAACAAAGTTTAACTGTATTTGTTTAAAACTTGATTGTTTGCCAGAAATTTTTACTGGGTATTTCTCTTTAAAAATGCAAAATTGGCCTTGAAACAATTGAAAAGTGCTTGAAGGATTTCAGTTTGAACCCTGACAAATGCACTGACTGTACTTCTGTTCTTTGATTTATAGTATACCTACATTTAGTCCATTTTATCATGATTTTATTGTCTATATAAATGTTCATGCTTTGATTAAGTTACAAGGAAAAACGATGCTTTTAAATTTTATTTTACAACAAATTACAGGAACACTAGGAGGACTCTGTTCAGATACAATACCCTGTAAAGGAACTAATGTAAAAGCATGTGTACCTGCTGATGCAGTGTGTGAATGTGAAGATACTTTCACAGCATACAATGGAGAATGTGTTGCTGCAAGTATGTTTATTATTGCATTTCTGTAAGAATTTTGTTGGGACCATGGTGTAATTTTCTAGAGAGGTGTGGTATGCGAACCCATTTTCTGTTGCTAAAAAACTAGTTTTCCCAAAAATGATTTAAACATTTCCATTTTTTTTTCTCGTAATTTAATTGTTATTTTGGTGACCTCCCAATATAAGGTATTTTTCCATTTATGTCAGTTCTAAGTATGCCAATTGTATGTATAAATTCTGCACACATAATAATTGAAGGCAAGGCAGGCGCCATAGTGTAGTCAGGTACGGTTCGTCAGCGTACGGTATGGTACGGACATATACAGAACATTATTGTGAAAGAGTTGTTCCCCTTTACTTTACATGTACGCCATTTGTTGCCGATTCTTTAGGCAATATTAATAAACTACAAAACTCATATATTTGTGTGTTTCTATACCGTTAAACCATACTGGCGTGGTGGCAGCAGGAAAAGGACTCACTCTCAATCTGCAACCCAGTAATTTGCGGACACTGTTGTGGACATTTCACGTCAAAATAAGTGCAAAAAAAACGGATAGTTCTACTCTACTGCGTAGTGACAAAACACATAAACATTTACAATAATGGCTCAAGTACGTGCACCCAAGCAATGGTGTTTGACCAAACAAGAAACTATTACATCGTTCGAGTCTTGGAGACAAAATTTACAATATACTTTGTCCCTGGATCCCAATTTTGCACCGTTCCTAGTTGAGGGATTTCAGTGGGAGCGAAAAACAAACACAAACCCAGAACGCGGATTTACTGATGATGGCGAATCAGTTCCTGAGGCAAAGAGGCGCACAGCTGCACAAAAAGTGATTTATCTAGAACTCATGTTAGGGCAAATTGCAAACTTCTGCCCAATAATTTCTCGTAACACTATCGTGAAAAATGCAACGTCAATAAAAACTATTTGGCAGACAATTCGTTTACATTTCGGATTCCAGTCAACAGGAGCACATTTTCTGGATTTTGACAGTATACAACTTCAACCAGGAGAGAGACCAGAGGATTTATACCAGCGTTTATCAAGTTTTATCGAAGATAACACATTAAAGAAAGATGGTGGCCTATCTCATATGGGAACTGTACCAGATGAAGACGAAGAGATTACCCCAACAGTCGAAAACTTGGTTGTATTAACATGGTTGAGATTAATAGACAATCGTTTGCCGGCACTAGTAAAACAGCGCTACGGAACAGAACTTCGTTCAAGGACTTTAGCCACACTTAAGCCTGAAATTTCTCTCGCTTTAGACAGTTTGCTAGACGAAATACATGCCGTAGCTGATGCAAAAGTCATGCGTTCTGCTTTTAAAGGTTCTAAAGACAACGGAAAATTTCGATCAATCTCTCGTGCCACCCCTTCGTGCCCCTTATGTAAACAAGCTGGCCGAAGATCATTCAATCATTTTCTCAGCAAATGCAAATTCTTACCTGAGGAAGACAAGCGTTATCTTTCAAGTGTTCGTCAAACTGTCTCGGACGAAACTGCGGGGGATCCGGAAATCGATCAAGAGTCTTACGAAGATGACAATCAGCAATCTCAATGCTATGGTATACATTCGGCTACTTCTAGACGTGTAAGCACCAAACAGTCTCCAACATTAAAAACATTTTATAAACATTTTCCTCTGAATGTTACCCTAGATACTGGAGCAGAAATCAACATGTTGAAATTGTCTGTTGCACACTATATGGGAGTACCTATTAAGAAAAGCAATCAACGTGCACTCCAGGCAGATGGTTCCACCCCATTAAAGGTGGCTGGCGAGACACATATAGTTCTTACTCGTGGCGAACAGAGTTTAACTGTTGAGGCATTAGTGGTTGAAAACTTAGATGTGGATTTACTTGGTGGAATACCTTTCATGGCAACAAATGACATTATGGTTAGACCTGCAAAGCAACAAATTGTTATTCATGGTTCTGATACAGTGTTTTATGCACCAGAGGTACCTGACTCGGTTTCTCACAGTGTTCGAAGGACCCAAGCTTTTGTCCTTAGGTCAAGTTCCAATATGTCTTCAATTACATGGCCGGGATCTTACCTGGAGGTCACTTTGCCAGACAACATTGATCCAGATGGCACACTTGCCATAGAGCCCAAGTTCGGAGCATCCAGTAACAAACAATGGCCACTTCCACAAGTTATTGAAGCAGTGTCTGGTAAAGTAAGACTACTGAATTCAACGACCAATCCCATCCATGTGCATAAAAATGAACATGTTTGTCAAGCTCGCCACACTGTTGACTCTTATGATACAAAAGTTCAAGACTTTCAAGACACACCCCTGGTTCGTACTTGTCATGCCAAGATGACTACCAATAATCATTTCTCTGATACGGTATCAGTTGACCCAGATGCTATACTACCTGCAAATACTCGCCAGTGTTTCCAGAACATCTTAGAGCAATATGATAGTGTATTTGATAAGACTCTGTCTGGATATAATGGTTTTTCTGGGCCATTCAAAGCAGTTGTTAACATGGGCCCTGTTCAACCACCTCAGCGTAAAGGACGCCTACCTCAATATGCAAGAGATAAGTTAGTTGAGCTACAAGAACACTTCGATGATTTAGAACAGCAAGGAGTGTTTTCGCGCCCAGAAGATATCCCAATTACAGTTGAATACTTAAACCCTTCTTTCTTGGTAAAAAAAGGTCAGGGAGGTTTTCGGTTGGTCACAGCGTTTGCTGATGTTGGTCGTTATGCTAAACCTCAGCCTTCACTCATGCCAGACGTAGACACTATACTTCGTACAATAGGTCAATGGACATACATAATAGTAACTGACCTAACAAGCGCATTCTACCAAATTCCTTTGTCGAAGGAGTCCATGAAGTATTGCGGAGTAGCGACACCTTACAAAGGCATACGTGTTTATACAAGATGTGCCATGGGTATGCCAGGCTCAGAAACGGCATTGGAAGAACTCATGTGTCGTGTGCTAGGTGATTTATTGCAAGAAGGTGTTGTGGCGAAACTTGCAGATGATTTGTACATCGGTGGAAACACTACAGACGAACTCCTTGCCAATTGGACCCGTGTATTAGATGCTTTACAGAAAAACAACTTGAAACTGAAGCCCACAAAAACCATCATATGTCCAAGATCCACTACGATCCTTGGATGGATATGGTCCCAAGGAAAATTTTCAGCAAGCCCCCATCGTATAGCTTCTCTTTCGGCTTGTCCACCCCCTCAAACTGTCCATGGGTTACGATCATACATTGGCGCTTACAAGGTGTTGGGTCGTGTTCTACCTGGTTGTTCGCAATTGATAGCTCCACTCGACAACATTACAGCTGGTGGGAACTCTTCAGACAAAATCGTTTGGGATGAAGCCTCACTTAAACATTTTCAAAACACTCAGTCAGCACTAAATTCAAACAAGTCAATTGTCCTTCCTAGACCTACAGACCAACTTTGGATAGTCACTGATGGGTCAGTCAAGAAACGTGGCATTGGCGCTACATTATACGTTACGCGGCATGGCAAGCTGTTACTCGCTGGATTCTTCAGTGCCAAGTTACGAAAACACCAGGTCACTTGGTTACCTTGTGAGATAGAGGCTCTTGGCATTGCAGCCGCAGTCAAGCACTTCAGTCCATACATTATACAGTCCAGTCAGCAGACGTGTGTGCTAACAGACAGTAAACCGTGTGTTCAAGCAATTGATAAGTTATGTAGAGGCGAGTTTTCTGCTAGTCCAAGAGTGACATCCTTTCTTTCTGTTGTTAGCCGATATCAAGTACATGTTAAACATCTTGCTGGTTCTGCCAATGTCCCATCCGATTTTGCCAGCCGCAACGCACCAGAATGTGAAAACCCCACTTGCCAAATATGTACATTTATTCATATCACTGAGGATTCTGTTGTTAGAGCGATTAACATAGAGGACGTACTTAACAGTAAGAGCCGCTTACCATTCACATCCAGATCAGCTTGGAAAGATATTCAGTCAGAGTGCCCAGACCTTAGACGCGTTCATTCACATTTATTACAAGGCACTAGGCCTTCAAAGAAACTAACAAATGTTAAAGATGTCAAACGTTACCTCAACTCTGTATCTATTGCCAAGGATGGTATACTTGTCGTAAAACATACTGATCCTCTTGTGTCTTCGGTTGACCTAATTGTCGTACCCAGATCTGCCATTGATGGTCTTATCACCGCCTTGCATATCAAACTTGACCATCCATCAAAACATCAAATACTACAGGTTTTGAAGAGACATTTTTATGCCTTGGACATGAGCCAAGCAGTTGAAAGAGTATCTGACATGTGTCATAGCTGCGCGTCTTTACGTAAACTACCAACAGGGTTTTGTACTCAATCCTCAGAAGACCCTCCTGAGGTAGTAGGAATGAGTTTCGCTGCAGACGTCATGAAACGTAATAAACAGTTAGTACTTGTGTTAAGAGAAACATCAACTTCATACACTGTTGCCTCCATAGTAGAAAATGAAAGAAGAGATACTATAAGAGATTCCTTAGTATGCCTGTGCACTGAGTTACATCCAATTCATGGACCTCCTGCTGTCATTCGAGTTGACGCTGCTCCATGTTTTACATCTTTGAGAGATGACGCCATACTCCGTCGTCTGAATATAACCTTAGATATTGGTCGCGTGAAAAATGTTAACAAAAACCCTGTAGGAGAAAAAGCAATTCAAGAGCTTGAAGATGAGATCATACGTATTGAGCCAGATGGCGGTTCGCTTTCTAAGGTTCAACTGGCGATTGCTGTCGCGAAACTGAATTGTCGCATCCGTCGTGAAGGATTATCAGCTAGAGAGTTGTGGACGCAAAGAAATCAGTTTACTCATGAACAACTTCCTATTTCGGACAGAAATGTTATTTCTCAACAGTATCAGGCACGTTTAGAAAATCACAGTGCAAGTGAAAAGTCCAAAAGCTCTAAGTCATCTGTGAAAGCCTCTCATGTTAGTGTAGGAGATATAGTTTACTTATATTCTGACAAGAATAAATTACATTCCAGGCAAAGATACCTTGTAGTGTCAAAAGAAGATGATTGGTTTTACGTAAAGAAGTTCATCGGTAACCAGTTACGCGCTTCCTCGTATAAAGTGAAACAAAACGAATGTTTCCGCGTTCCCACAGAAATACAAAATTTTAATCTTTCTAAGTGCAAATTCCAGCAAGACAATGATAGCGACGATATAGACAGTGACATTTCTGTTCCGCAAGCAACCTAAATACCTTGATGATTACATTACATAGACATATACATAATTAATAAGTTACCATTTTAATAACTGTTTATATCATTGTTTTGTTAAACGTTTATGGATTTGATTATTAAGAGTGTCTCCATTATTAGACTATATTTCATCACTTAGTTTATCTTAAAAGGATATGTATACGTTATTAAGTTAAATTTCAAAAAGAAAGAAAGGTAGCGCCATAGTGTAGTCAGGTACGGTTCGTCAGCGTACGGTATGGTACGGACATATACAGAACATTATTGTGAAAGAGTTGTTCCCCTTTACTTTACATGTACGCCATTTGTTGCCGATTCTTTAGGCAATATTAATAAACTACAAAACTCATATATTTGTGTGTTTCTATACCGTTAAACCATACTGGCGAGGGATCATCCTGGTCAGGATTTTTAGTGAGAGATTTTCTCTCATTTGAGAAATTTTGATGAGAGAAATTAGATTTTCTTGAGAGATTTAATTTTCATGATGGGCGAGGTTAAAAATATGGAAATTTCTAACTTTTTAAAAATCACTGTACATATAAACATTGTTTATCTAATGAGGATATAAGAAGATGTAGCTCTGTTTATTACAGTGATTTTTGTTTTCACTTTTTTAACACATCCTATGCCTTTTCTTTTGTGATTTTTTAAACATAATAAAATTCTAATTGTGAAAAATAAATATAACACCTTTATTCTGAAATATAAAAGAATTATACATGGATATCTACTACAACTATTATTTGCAGTCAATGTTCCTAATGGACAACACTGTACTGTACAGAAGTGATTGTTGAGATTTGAAGAATATTTTTATAACCTTTCATTTTGTTTTCTTTATGATTCTCTTCACACACCTCCCTCCATTAAAAAATATACCTGAACACATAATGACAAATATCTCCATATCCACAAATATAAACAATAACTAAAGTAATTTTTATTCATAAACATCATTTTTAGTGTTATTAAACACCTTTAAATAACACTCGGCTTCCTTTTAGAATTTTTTTTAATCGCGAAAATATGTGACAAATGAATATTTGTCTGTTTTCCGCTGAAACATTCACAATTCTAGCTGTTGCTGATTGCAATTATATAAAATTAAATATTTTTGTTCAATAAAAGAACATTTATTATCGGCTATTTCATCAGGAATCGTGAAACAAATTTTTTAAATTTGTTCTTTACGGCAAAATTTACCGTGGTTGATGTGAAATTTAGAAGACAAATTTTACCGGTAGATTTATTTTTGACATGTCCATTTTTATGTTAGTCTGTGTCTAAAATTTTTTATTAAAATCAATTAAAAGTGTTTTGTGTAAATTCTCGACTTACAGATAGATAAAGGTTAGCCATCATACCGTATTTTTGTACGGTGAATTTGCGGTCTCCGATCGGCAATTATTTTAGGCTAAATAATTCGAAGTGTTGGACTACTTTTTGGAGTTTTTTACACCGATTTCATTAATAAACAATTTGAAATTAAATTCTTGATGGGAATCGTGAATTTTTCATCATATTTTTGTGTAATTTTAGCATTCCTTAGATTGTGTTTAGACATTTTCCGGCTCAAATTGCCGTGCGAGATTTTCTCTCATTTCACAAATTTCTCTGAGATTTTGGTGATATTTTTGCGAGAAATCGCGGAAATTGCCCCCTAGAATTATCCCTGCAAGGGGGTACATGCACGCAGAGTAAAATCTTCGGAACCATGGAAGTTTTTAATAAATGTTTGGAATTGAGAGTGTAAACTACATCTGCTTATAAAGTACTGTTGCAATCTACCTATTGTTAGGGACACTCTAAACATTGAATTGCATGTCTGCTGCCAAAGAGTCATCTCTTGTTTGGTCTGATTAGTAAACTTGACAGCATAAATTATGTGCTATCGGAAAAATAAATTGCCTAAAAATATTTTAAGCTTCTTTAATGATCATCAAAAAGGTCATTTTTTTTATCAATTAACTTTAAATTTCTAGCCATGCAAATGTCGTTTGAAAATATAAATAAACAATTGGTATTTTGGAGTATTATGTTATAAAAAAATTAGGATATTTGAAATAAGCATAAAAACTGAACAGATGATGAGAGATTGTTATGTCAGCTATATTTAGGGCTATCATTGAGTCAGTGCAATGTATATTTACAATACATCAATCCGATGATAAATATCAGTGATACACCAATATATAATTCGATAAATACTTGTAATTTTATGTATGTAACAATTGTAACTCATTTCAAACTTAAATGATTTTAGTGAAATACATATTCTATTCATACAAATATGTGGCAAATTTTGATTATTTCTAAAACAATTTTATTTATCTTTTATTCATTAAAATAATTTCTCTCTAAATTTCTTCTGTTTACGGTAAAGCATTTCAGATTCACTTAAATCCATGACTTTTCTAGTGTAAAATTGGTCCTCTTTAATTTTTGGTCATTTCAAGATTAATGATTTAATGTTACGCTCTTATGGTTTTTCTTATTTATTGATAATGTTTTCTTAAGTAATTGTTTAATTTGAAACTACCCCTATTTCATTTATTTTCTAGCATGAGATTTTTAGTGAGTTCACTTTTTGTTAGACTATATAAGAAAGATTTTGACCTTCTCAGTTGCTTTTGCCTCAAGGACGCCAAGGTAGCTTATACCTAGTCAACGAGATAAGCCACAAATTTTATCAATGTAGGGTTATTTTTTGTTTGTTTCATTTTTGAATAAGAAATCTATTTTATTATATTTTCTTAGGAGTGTTTTCCATTTACTTTAATAAGAAACTTAAATAACTTAAATTAACTTTGCTTTCATATCATTCTGTAAATCATGACTTAAACTTATAGATGGTAGTATATTTTGAAATAAACTAGAATCACTATATTTGAGAAATGTAATTTAATAAATGTCATATAAATTGTGAATGATCTTTGTTTGAATTGAAACCTTAGAGTTTATAATTAACCTGGGTTTGCAAGGTTAGTAAACCTGCTACAAATATATTTCAGATGCACTAGGAGGAAGCTGTTCTGCTGATGGTGATTGTACAAGTGATTCTAATCAACAATGTAACAATCTCCATTATGGGATTTGTGTTTGTAAGAGAGGTTTTACAGATATATCAGGAACATGTAAAGAAACAGGTATGTTTAGTCTTATACATGTATTAAGAACTGATTTATGACAATGCTGTTACTGATCCTGAATTGATTCACATTGATTTTCATATTTGATATGTGACTTTATAAATATGTATTGCGCTGGTTTGACTTAATTTGAGGCTGATTTGGCTAATTTTCTGGCAGATTAAAAAAATGTCTTAATGACTGTGTATTCTATGCTTAATGAGGGTCCATTTGTCCTTTCAGAGTCTGATTTGACTTATTTGTGCTTATCCTTAACAAAAGTTCTTCTATTCTTGTTAATGTTGTATATACCTTTAACTATTTTGCTATATTTACAAATAATTGACAATATGATTATACACTACCGTATAAGTACTATTTTCTGCAGGAACTTTATTTCTGCTATTTCTGCGGTTCATAACGACACCGCAGATTTAAAAACCGCAGAAAATTAAGCATTTTCGTATGTATATGTCAGAAATTATCAACTACCGGCAGTGATTTTTTTCCAATTTTCAAAACAACCTGTGGCTTTCTGAAGGGGAAAATATAGTGCGTGAAATCATAAAAGGGAAAAAAATTACAACAACTGAGAATAAAATTTTATAAATGTTTCAATTTCAGTTCAATCTAACATGCATGGTTCATAGCAGAGGCTATCTATAGGGACAGCTTTCTGTCTTGTAACTGATATAAGTCAGTTGCTCTCATGAAGAATGTGCACATGGCATTTTAGGGGAAAATATTAGCATTTTTAGGGGAAAATAAATCCATTTTCGGCTAGGGGAAACAGCCTTTATTCGGCTGTAAAATATAGGGAAAAAAATCACTGACCGGTATTGTATAATTACATTAACATGTACCGTTATCAGCTTTTGTAGATGGGAATTTTTCTTTATGTATCTGTCGTGAATGAAATATTAGAAAAAACATGTTACTTTGCTTGTTCTCTTTGTTTAAAAGAATGTTATGTTTGTATGATTTTCGCTTACCCTTAGCTTGATTTCTTTGTAAAATGAAACTATTGTAGTTTGTGGGGTGCAATAAACATACCCTTTTGTATTTGTACAATATCTTGTGTCTACGTGCGATTTTGCCATTGTTTATTATTCACACTTCATATTTATACACAGTATTAAAATTGTTGTCATTCCACGTTTATTAACATGTATATGCCATACATGATGATGACGATCAGTCCTCTGCATGTTAACCGGAAGTAATGTACATGTTACATCAATAAATCTTGAAATTTCTGTTTGTGTAGGTTAATTTTGTAATAATATCTTAATCAAAACGCAGAAATAACAAGCATCAATGCGAGAATGATGACACCTCAGAAATAAGATACGCAGAAATTTAAAACCCCTTATTTTAAAAAAAATCGCAGAATACTAAGCCCGCAGAAATAAATACTTATACGGTATAATATGATATTGATATAAATTAATTTTGATAAATTTCATTATTGAACCTGATTATGTCAAGTTGTACACATGCCCTAATCTTAATGTCTACTGTGTATATAAATTAAATGATAAATTCAATTTAAATATTGATTTATGAACCATACATAAATTTATTGGTCACACAAATTATTATACTAAATTGTCAACATAGCCTGGATGATGTTGAGTCAAAGTTTGAATAAGAGTTTTTGAAAACACAAGGCATGTTTGACATAATACAACATGACAGAAAACCTAAAAACTCCATTTTGTTAGTCTAAAGAATTAGTGCCTAATGTACTGTTGTATTGTAAATACTAAACTGGGATATTTTTTGTAGTACTAAACTCGAAAATATTATGATTAAGCATTGATTCACATGTTTTTTTAAAATCTATATCTATCAGATATAAATAATTTGTTCAATAAGATTATTTGAGATAGATGTACTTGTAGCAATTGAGTCACCAGAGGGGAAATAAGAATATCTAAAGGTACGGCCTAGTATTTAGTAAAAAAAGGAAAATAAAACTACTGCAAATATATATATATATATATATATATATTATATATATATATATATATAATATATATATTTTTTTTTTTTTTTTTTTTTAACACTTTTTGTGCTTTATTAATATGTATATGTAAAACATACTAACACCCTGTTGCAAAACAAACCAGTATTGGATTATTTTGAGGAGCAAATATATATATAATACAATGCATCTAATTGCTAGCAGCAATCATGTCTTGTCCATAGAACCGATATAGAATGAACATAGGTAAACCTTATCCCTTCCAATAATATGTTTAGAATCAGGCCAGTGAAACCCTCACTGTTCCCCGTATATATTTAAAATCGGGTAAGATAAACCATAACTTCTCCCCTAATATATTTTGAGCTCAATCCTAAACCCTACCCTTATATATTTAAAACCAGGCCTGCTAAACCCTTGGCTAATATATTTAGGGCATAGCCAGTCTAACCCTGACCCCTCACCTAATAAAAAAAGAGTCAGGCCAGCTAATCCCTCTCCTAATATATTTAGAGCATAGCCAACTTAATCCATGTAATCCTAACCCCTCTCCTAATACACTTGGAGTCAGGCCTGCTAAACCCTACCCTTTAATATTTAGAGCATAGCTTACTTAATTCTTACCATTCCCCTGCAAATATATTTAACTTTATAATAATAATGTGTTTTGGAATTCTAAATAAACACAGTATTTACATTTTGATAATATTCTTACAGGAAAATTGGAGGGTGCTTGTTCAACTGATGCTGACTGCAGCACAGTAACTAATGCAGTTTGTACATCTGATGTGTGTGCCTGTGGAACTGGGTACACCGCAGATTCTGGTGCATGCAAAATATCTGATGGTTAGTATTTTTTTGTTGTTATATGACATGTTTGGAATTTTTCTTTATATTATCTTTTGTCAAGACATATATACATGTCGTACTGAGAAGTTGACAAACATTTTACTTCACAGTAAAGCTACAAATACGTGTGCCTCGCTTGAACCAGTTTTTGTTGTTAAAGCACAAAACATTAGAATAAAATGTACTGTCCATGTTATGAATTTAGCCTAAGATAAACCCATTTCTAGTAGTAGCAAATTTATTGCTATCATTTGTAATACATGAAGACAAAAGAAAGTCTTAATCTCTATAAATATTGAAGCTTACCAGCTCCACAAATTCACTGGTATAATGTAAAATTGATTTAAATATTATTGAATAGTCGTAGAACTTTGGTTCTAGCACGGTTTGAATGAACCCTGAATGTGACCCCGTCCCCAAACCCTTTTCCCTCTACTAATGTTTATTAAATTAAATAGTCGCCGGTAGAAACCGTTGACTATATTTGTAACAGTTTAATATTATACCTATGGTAGGAGAAGGCCTTAAAATCTGAAAATAAAAAGCATATCAATTACTGAACAATTAAAGACTACAATTGTTTTCAGTAATCTCAAAATCAAACATAAATAATTTTGCTCAATGAAATGAAATATTCAAAATTGACATCTTAAAAAGTAGAGGTGTCATCGATAAGGATTTTTTGTATCGATATATCGGTAATGAATTAATCGATACAGCGATATATCGACTGTCAGGCTAATTTTAGCTTTCAAGTCTTTTTAATGTTTCCTAAGGACACTGACAAAGCAGTTATATTTAGACAATGCAAAAAAGATAAACTATGAAAAACTGAACAATTTGTTTCTTTTTTTTATCATATAGCTATAAATTAAAAACTAATGACTAGTAACTTATTATAAAGTTTTAAAGCCTTTTCCAATTTTTCTTTTGTTGTTGTTGTTGTTGCTATGACGTAGTTACTGATCATGCTAAAGTCCCCGTCCTTGCCGTTCCAATTAAGCCGGGTTTAATTGGCAAATTATAGTGTTTAAACCTGAATAATTATTAAAGTTTAACATTTGTAATCAAAATAATTTTTACAAAGAAACACTGACAAATTTTCTTTGCATTTTCCCTTTTTTAAAATCTGAATTGAGGGGTCTTGACATCCACTAAGCAGACGTGCGAGATTACAACGAAATTAGGCAGCATTCGTTAGAGACACTGGGAGGTAACTTTGGCATTGATTTCCGTTTTCATTTTAGAAAAAAAATGTTTCTGGCATCCATAACTTTACATGTCGCTTTTATTTTGACGTTTTGCGACAGTAAACAGGTCTGTCAGTTCTAAAAAAACATGTTCGCTGAAGTCTCTTTAGCTAGAAATATATGTGCATTCGATATCCGATATTTAAAAAATGGAATCGATATCGAATCGGATAACAAAGATCGTTGATACACCGATATTGATTGAATCGATGACACCCCTATTAAAAAGCAACATTACAATTTCTATAAAATGAATTAATGATGTATCCCTATGGATAAGTCATTGAATTTAGGGATACTTTTACTTATTTCAAAGTGTCAAGCGTTCCGCTACTTTATGATAAATAAATCATGCATGATATTTGAAATGACACTTTAAATTATCTGGTTGTTTATATCTTATGAGACCTATTTTATTTTATTATTTTATTTAGTTATAAACTATTTCTGCCTGTTTCTTTGTTAAGAGAATCACGCGTGACTACAACCATCGTATGCCTTATTTGTATAAAAATCTATTAATGGTAACAAATGGCTGATAAGACAGACATTACAGGCAACTTGTGCAATGGTTGGCACAAAGGTATAGAAGCCGATAAAGTGTAAATCAAAGTTATTTTGTATGAAATAATTACAAAATCTCGGTATGATGGCTAGGGGGTTTTTTTCCAGAATCGTATTGGATTACACAGAGAAAAACTAATAAACTATCTTTGTGTTGAATAGTTTTTTATCGCATTTGAAAAAACGGCAATTAAAACATTAATTATATCGTATGTAACGACAGAAATAGTTGATTTCAACTAAATTATATATTTTTGCGAATAGCGCAATAAGAATTTTTTTATGCTGCAGTGAGACACCACTTGTTACAGTAGAATTGCATCGTTTTATGCAATAATTAAATCATATATAATTTCATAGTTACTTTG